AATCGGCCCATGTATATAAAGGGCCGGACAGGAGCAGTGCAGGGGCGGGTTGCCGTTCATAAACCTTCGAACACAGTGGAACACCGATTGTCATACGGGAACTCTGTGTGAGTCCCGATCATGTGGTCATGTGCCAATCAGTGATCACATGCAAAGTAGTAAGCAAGATGTCACTTCTGACATCATTGCTTTCTACGTGTGAAATCTGTGAATGATCACAGAGATCACATAGTACAGGGCTATTCACAACAGCTTTGTACCATGTGACAAGCTGTGACCAATCACAGCTCTCACAGTATTTCTCAATGTCTGCAAGAATGCAGCCAGAGAGAAGGAGAAATGATTGCTTTTACAGCCTTTATGGGTGTACAAAAAAAAATCTTCATCACCCCCCACAAGTAGTACAGTGTCACCATGGTGACACTGTACTGCTAGGGTGACAGTATGTAAAAAAAAAAAAAAAAAAAAAAACACACACACATAAATAATAATATAAAAAAATAAAATAAAAATGTAAAAAAAAAATTTTTTTTTAATTATAATTTTTGGTTATAAACTAATTTGGGGGTTATTTTTTTTTTTACTAAAAAGACAACGGAATACTTTTTGGCGAAGATTTATGATGACATTTTTGGACTTTTTCATTTATATAGCAAAAAAAAAAAAAAATAAATCCCAGCGGTGAATAAATACCACCAAAATAAAGTTTTATCTGTCTCAAAGTAACGCTAAAAAATTCATATGGGTACAGTGTTGCATGACCGCACAATTGTCATTCAAAGTGTGATAGCGCTGAAAGCTGAAAATTGGCCTGGGCAGGAAGGGGGTGAAATTGTGTGGACTGGAAGGGGGGGAAAGTGTCCGAACTGGAAGGGGGTGAAAGTGTCCAGACTGGAAGGGGGGGGGGAAAGTGTCCGGACTGGAAGGGGGTGAAAGTGTCCGGGCAGGAAGGGGGTGAAATTGTGTGGACTGGAAGGGGGGGGAAAGTGTCCGAACTGGAAGGGGGTGAAAGTGTCCGGACTGGAAGGGGGTGAAAGTGTCCGGACTGGAAGGGGGTGAAAGTGTCCGGACTGGAAGGGGGTGAAAGTGTCCGGACTGGAAGGGGGTGAAAGTGTCCAGACTGGAAGGGGGGGGAAAGTGTCCGGACTGGAAGGGGGGGTGAAAGTGTCCGGACTGGAAGGGGGTGAAAGTGTCCAGACTGGAAGGGGGTGAAAGTGTCCAGACTGGAAGGGGGTGAAAGTGTCCGGACTGGAAGGGGGGGAAAGTGTCCGGACTGGAAGGGGGGTGAAAGTGTCCGGACTGGAAGGGGGGGAAAGTGTCCGGACTGGAAGGGGGTGAAAGTGTCCGGACTGGAAGGGGGGGGAAAGCGTCCGGACTGGAAAAGGGTGAAAGTGTCCGGACTGGAAAGGGGGGAAAGTGTCCGGACAGGAAGGGGGGGAAATTGTCCGGACTGGAAGGGGGGGAAAGTGTCCGGACAGGAAGGGGGGAAAGTGTCCAGACAGGAAGGGGGTGAAAGTGTCCGGACTGGAAGGGGGTGAAAGTGTCCGGACTGGAAGGGGATGAAAGTGTCCGGACTGGAAGGGGGGGGGAAAGCGTCCGCCTGGAAAAGGGTGGAAAGTGTCCGGACTGGAAAGGGGGGGGAAAGTGTCCGGACAGGAAGGGGGTGAAAGTGTCCGGACTGGAAGGGGGTGAAAGTGTCCGGACTGGAAGGGGGGGGGGGAAAGTGTCCAGACTGGAAGGGGGGGGAAAGCGTCTGGACTGGAAGGGGGTGAAAGTGTCCGGACTGGAGGGGGGGGAAAGTGTCCAGACTGGAAGGGGGGGAAAGTGTCCGGACTGGAAGGGGGGGAAAGTGTCCGGACTGGAAGGGGGTGAAAGTGTCCGGACTGGAAGGGGGGGAAGTGTCCGGACTGGAAGGGGGGGTGAAAGTGTCCGGACTGGAAGGGGGTGAAAGTGTCCGGACTGGAAGGGGGGGGAAAGTGTCCGGACTGGAAGGGGGTGAAAGTGTCCGGACTGGAAGGGGGGGGTGAAAGTGTCCGGACTGGAAGGGGGTGAAAGTGTCCGGACTGGAAGGGGGGGGAAAGCGTCCGGACTGGAAGGGGGGGGGAAGCGTCCGGACTGGAAGGGGGGGAAAGCGTCCGGACTGGAAGGGGGGGAAAGTGTCCGGACTGGAGGGGGGGGGGGAAGTGTCCGGACTGGAAGGGGGGAAAGTGTCCGGACTGGAAGGGGGGAAAGTGTCCGGACTGGAAGGGGGGAAAGTGTCCGGACTGGAAGGGGGGGAAAGTGTCCGGACTGGAAGGGGGGAAAGTGTCCGGACTGGAAGGGGGGGAAAGTGTCCGGACTGGAAGGGGGGGAAAGTGTCCGGACTGGAAGGGGGGGAAAGCGTCCGGACTGGAAGGGGGGGAAAGCGTCCGGACTGGAAGGGGAGGAAAGCGTCCGGACTGGAAGGGGGTGAATGTGTCCGGACTGGAAGTGGTTAAAGCTGAACTCTATATTTAAAGCTGAATGAAGGAGCTTGCCATTCAGTCACTCTGATTTCTCCTTCTGCCAGCATACACTTTGCACTGCGACAAACCTGATTGACTCCTTGTGCTGCTTCTGCGTCTCCCTCTCTGAGCTCTGCTGTACGGACTGTGCGGTAGGCTGCAAAAGGCTGATTTCGAGTTGCATACAACGCTTGCATTAAAAAAAGAAAAAAACTGATGCAATAATGATTCCAGAGCGGCATTAATTGGTGTTTTTTTTTACATCAGCACGGAGTTCACCTTTAGGTTTGCTCTGCCTTACACAATGGTTTGGCTGTCACTGCGATTTGGGATTTTCGGGAGATCTCTACAGATGAAATTACAGTGTGCGGTGCGCTGTGGAGGCAGGTTTAGGAGCGGCGTGTAATTGGGACGATGTGTAATAATTATATGCAAATCAGGCTCTGCTCTTCATCCAGCGATAGTCGCCTTTATCCGGGTCTCTGCAGGTTTAATCATCGCTATTTCTGTCATACAGAGATGGGCCGATCTGCAAAACCAACAGGGCAGCTTATGAAATACCAGGATGAGTGAAATCTCAGGCGTCACCCCGACTGACCAATCAGAAGCTTGCATCCATTTTGTAGCCTTCTCTAGCAAGACATTAGCTAGAAGTGGATTGGCTTCTGCATGCAATGCCTTCTCCTTTCACTGGTATCATCACTGACACCCTCTGACAACTAAACTGGATGTCAACCCAGCCACTAAAATTCCATGTAAGCCTTAAGCCCGGGTTCACATGCGATATCTGTGCGGTGCAGTTTGAGCCATACATTTTGGATATAGTGAATGCAGGGACCGGGGAGAGCAGATATAGTGAATGCAGGGTCCGGGGAGAGCGGATATAGTGAATGCGGGGTCCGGGGAGAGCGGATATAGTGAATGCGGGGTCCGGGGAGACCAGATATAGTGAATGCGGGGTCCGGGGGAGAGCGGATATAGTGAATGCAGGGTCCGGGGAGACCAGATATAGTGAATGCAGGGTCCAGGGAGAGCGGGATATAGCGAATGCGGGGTCCGGGGAGAGCGGATATAGTGAATGCAGGGTCCGGGGAGAGCGGATATAGCGAATGCGGGGTCCGGGGAGAGCGGATATAGTGAATGCGGGGTCCGGGGAGAGCGGATATAGTGAATGCGGGGTCCGGGGAGAGCGGGATATAGCGAATGCGGGGTCCGGGGGAGACCGGATATAGCGAATGCGGGGGTCGGGGAGGGGAGAGCGGATATAGCGAATGCGGGGTCCGGGGAGAGCGGATATAGTGAATGCGGGGTCCGGGGAGACCAGATATAGTGAATGCGGGGTCTGGAGAGAGCAAATATCGTGAATGCGGGGTCCAGGGAGACCAGATATAGTGAATGCAGGGTCCGGGGAGAGCGGATATAGTGAATGCAGGGTCCGGGGAGAGCGGATATAGTGAAGGCGGGGTCCAGGGACACCAGATATAGTGAATGCAGGGGTCCAGGGAGACCAGATATAGTGAATGCGGGGTCCAGAGAGAGCGGATATAGTGAATGCAGGGTCCAGGGACACCAGATATAGTGAATGCAGGGTCCGGGGAGACCTGATATAGTGAATGCAGGGTCTGGAGAGAGCAAATATCGTGAATGCGGGGTCCGGGGAGAGCGGATATAGTGAATGCAGAGTCCGGGGAGAGCGGATATAGTGAATGCAGGGTCCGGGAGACCAGATATAATGAATGCAGGGTCCGGGGAGAGCGGATATAGTGAATGCGGGGACCGGGGAGACCAGATATAGTGAATGCAGGGTCCGGGGAGACCAGATGTAGTGAATGCAGGGTCCGGGAGACCTGATATAGTGAATGCGGGGTCTGGAGAGAGCAAATATCATGAATGCAGGGTCCAGGGAGAGCGGATATAGTGAATGCAGGGTCCGGGGAGACCAGATATAGTGAATGCAGGGTCCAGGGGAGTGTGGATATAGTGAATGCAGGGTTCGGGGAGAGCAGATATAGTGAATGCAGGGTCCGGGGAGAGCGGATATAGTGAATGCAGGGTCCGGGGAGAGCAGATATAGTGAATGCGGGGTCTGGGGAGAGCGGATATAATGAATGCAGGGTCCGGGGAGACCAGATATAGTGAATGTAGGGTCCAGGGAGAGCGGATATAGTGAATGCAGGCTCCGTGGAGAGTGGATATAGTGAATGCGGGGTCCGGGGAGAGCAGATATAGTGAATGCAGGGTCCAGGGAGAGTGAATATAGTGAATGCGGGGTTCGGGGAGAGCGGATATAGCGAATGCAGGGTCCGGGGGGAGAGTGGATATAGTGAATGCAGGGTCCGGGGAGAGACGGATATAGTGAATGCGGGGTCCGGGGAGAGCAGATATAGTGAATGCGGGGTCCGGGGAGAGCGGATATAGTGAATGCGGGGTCCGGGGAGACCTGATATAGTGAATGCAGGGTCTGGAGAGAGCAAATATCGTGAATGCGGGGTCCAGGGAGCCCAGATATAGTGAATTCGGGGTCCAGAGAGAGCGGATATAGTGAATGCAGGGTCCAGGGACACCAGATATAGTGAATGCAGGGTCCGGGGAGACCTGATATAGTGAATGCAGGGTCTGGGAGAGAGCAAATATTGTGAATGTGGGGTCCAGGGAGACCAGATATAGTGAATGCAGGGTCCGGGGAGAGCGGATATAGTGAATGCAGGGTCCGGGAAGAGCGGATATAGTGAAGGCGGGGTCCAGGGAGAGCGGATATAGTAAATGTAGAGTCCGGGGAGAGCGGATATAGTGAATGCAGGGTCCGGGGGGAGACCAGATATAATGAATGCAGGGTCCGGGGAGAGCGGATATAGTGAATGCAGGGTGCGGGGAGAGCGGATATAGTGAATGCGGGGACCGGGGAGAGCGGATATAGTGAATGCAGGGTCCAGGGAGACCTGATATAGTGAATGCAGGGTCCGGGGAGACCAGATATAGTGAATGCAGAGTCCAGGGAGACCAGATATAGTGAATGCGGGGTCCAGGGAGACCGGATATAGTGAATGCGGGGTCCGGGGAGACCGGATATAGTGAATGCAGGGTCCAGGGAGACCAGATATAGTGAATGCGGGGTCCGGGGAGACCGGATATAGTGAATGCAGGGTCTGGGGAGAGCAGATATAGTGAATGCGGGGTCCTGGGTTTAGTAACACTTTATGCCTGGGTTCACATATATGCGGTGCAGTATATCGCATGTACACCGCACGACACCGCATTCCTGTGCAAATCAAATGCGATTTCTGTGCGATGCAATTTGAGCCGTACATTTTGCATGGCTCCAGTCGCACCGCACCAAAATAGTGCAGGACCCTTTTTTTTGTCCGCACCAGAATCGGATCGCACGGGTATTCACACCTATGGGATCCGATTCTGCACATCGCACTGCGTTTTGCGAACTGATTTCGGGGTGTTGTTAACTTAACATACACACCTGCATCGGTTCACATGAATGGGGTGCGATTATGATGCGGTGCGGAAATTGCACTGAAACCGCTGCGAATGCCGCACTGCATCAGTGTGAACCCGGCCTCAAAGATAACTCCACTTTCCTGGGAAATAATCCAACATATACAATTGCTACACTCACTATGTTGTAATTGAATATTATTAGAAATTAACTTTCCTTTTCCATCCTCAGCTCTGTAGTTTTCTGTAAAATTTAACACAATATGGCAGCCTGGAGGTGTTGTGTAAACTGTTGGTTTAGAGAACGCCAACCCCCCCCCCCCCTCCCGAAATGTCATTTCCTGCTACTGTGATTCGCTCACTGATATTCCCAGAAGTCTAAATGATGATGCAAGTGAGATTTTAGGCATCCCCTGCAATAGGAATGTCAGTTTTTATGAGATACTCCCCTAGGGTTAAAAACTTTAAAGGGATGCAGGCTGTGCAGCTTTTCTCATCAGAACACTGAGAGTGCATCAGGTGATTATAATGAACCGGACGCTCCCATTCAAAATAAACAGCTCATCCTTCAAAACCACGAAAGGTAGAAATCTGCTACAAAGTTAAAATCCTTGTAATTTACATTGATCACCCAGAGGAGATTGTTTTTTTTTCTCAACTGAAGTATTTATGTCAGGTACATCAGTCCCTAACCCTCAAGGGGCGTACAATCTAAGGTCCCTAACCCTCAAGGGGCGTACGATCTAAGGTCCCTAACCCTCAAGGGGCGTACGATCTAAGGTCCCTAACCCTCAAGGGGCGTACGATCTAAGGTCCCTAACCCTCAAGGGGCGTACGATCTAAGGTCCCTAACCCTCAAGGGGCGTACAATCTAAGGTCCCTAACCCTCAAGGGGCGTACGATCTAAGGTCCCTAACCCTCAAGGGGCGTACGATCTATGGTCCCTAACCCTCAAGGGGCGTACGATCTAAGGTCCCTAACCCTCAAGGGGCGTACGATCTAAGGTCCCTAACCCTCAAGGGGCGTACGATCTAAGGTCCCTAACCCTCAAGGGGCGTACAATCTAAGGTCCCTAACCCTCAAGGGGCGTACAATCTAAGGTCCCTAACCCTCAAGGGGGGTACTAATCTAAGGTCCCTAACCCTCAAGGGGCGTACGATCTAAGGTCCCTAACCCTCAAGGGGCGTACGATCTAAGGTCCCTAACCCTCAAGGGGCGTACAATCTAAGGCCCCTAACCCTCAAGGGGCGTACGATCTAAGGTCCCTAACCCTCAAGGGGCGTACAATCTAAGGCCCCTAACCCTCAAGGCGCGTACAAACTAAGGTCCCTAACTCACATTCATACATACTAAGGACAATTTTAGCCAGGAGCTAATTAACTTACCAGCATGTCTTTGGAGTGTGGGAGGAAACTGGAGTACCCAGAGGAAACCCATGCAGGCAAAGGGAGTACATGCAAACTCCAGGCAGGTGGTGCCATGGTTGGGATTTGAACCGGCGACCCTAGTACTGTCTGGCCAATGTGCCGCCCCAGTAGAGTTGTCATTTAACTTCTTGCCGACCGCGCATAGCCGAATGACGGCTTCACCGCGGCCGGCCAGTTTCTGAGTGGACGTCATATGACGTCCCTCCCAGAACGCGCTCTCCTGCGCGCCCCAGGGGGCGCGCACCCGGCGATCTCCGTGATCGCTGTGTCCTACGGACACAGCTGATCACGTGATGTGGTGAAAGGCCGATCCCACCGGCCTTTTACCACGTGATCAGCGGTGTCCAATGACACGCTGATCACAGGGAAATGCAAGTGCCGGTTCTCGGCTGCACTTTCCTCACGCTGTCAGATCGTGAGGAAAGTACTGCCGAGAACCGGCAGTTGTCAGAGCGGGGATCGGCACCGATCATCAGGGCACTGATGATCAGTGCCCTGATGATCGGTGCCCAGCAGTGACACCCGCAAGTTCCGCCCAGCAGTGCGCCCACTAGCCCCGCCCACCCGTTCCCAGCAGTGCCCCCACCTGTGCCCAGCAGTGCACCCACCTGTGCCACTCTGCAGTGCCACCTACCTGTGCCCAGAAGTGCCACCCACCTGTGCCCCCACCCACCTGTGCCCACCAGTGCCACCCACCTGTGCCCACCAGTGCCACCCACCTGTGCCCACCCACCAGTGCTGCCCACCAGTGCCACCCACCAGTGCAGCCCAGCAGTGCTGCCAGTCAGTGCCACCAGTCAGTGCCCAGGGGTTGTGCCAGTCAGTGCCGCCAGTCAGTGCCCAGAAGTGATGCCAGTCAGTGCCGTCTATCAGTACCCATCATCAGTGTCACCTATCAGTGCCGCCTATCAGTGCTGCATATCAGTGCCGCCTATCCGTGACCCCTAATTAGTGCTGTCTATCAGTGCCGCCTATCCGTGCCACCTCATTAGTACTGCTTATCAGTGCCCTTTAGTGCTGCCTATCAGTGCCCATCAGTGCCGCCTATCAGTGCCCATCAGTGTCGCCTCATCAACGCAAATCAGTGAAGGAGAAAAAATACCTGTTTGAAAAATTTTATAAAAGATACAAATAAACTTTTTTTTTTTTTTTCAAATTTTTTGCACTATATTTTAATTTATAGCGCAAAAAGTAAAGCGCCCAGTGGCGATTAAATACCACCAAAAGAAAGCTCTATTTGTGAGAAAAAAAAATGATCAAAATTTCCATATGGGTACAATGTTGCATGACCGCGCAATTGTCAATCAAAGTGCGGCAGCGCTGAAAGCTGAAAATTGGCCTGGTAAGGAAGGGGGTATAAGTGCCTGGTAGGCAAGTGGTTAACATAAGACACAGGGGGAAAACCGGCACTCCAGCAGCAGTGGCGTCTCAAGGCAGGTGCGGGGGGTGCGACCCACGCCAGGTGACACCGGACCAGCTCCACGAAAAGGTAAGTTGTAAAGCAAGCCGACGATCCCCGCAGGATGGATCGGATCTGCGGATTGGAGAGCATAATGGATTGGACTCTGATCCATTATGCTCAATCCACAGATCCGATCCATCCTGCGGGGATCGTCAGCATGCAACCTATATGGGGTGACACCGGACCCGCTCCACGAAAAGGTAAGTTTGTAAAGAAAGCCGACGATCCCCGCAGGATGGATCGGATCTGCGAATTGAGCATAATAGATCAGAGTCTGATCCATTATGCTCAATCCGCAGATCCAATCCATTCGGCCGGGATTGTCGGAGGGGGTGTCACCAAGTGTTATCGCACCGGGTGACACCAACCCTAGGGACTCCCCTGTCCAGCAGATCAGCATAAATGTATATACTTTAATACAGAACGGTAAGATGCAGCCGAATGAAATCTTGTCATATTGGCTTTTAGCAATCATAGTTTAGTTAGTCTGGCTGAAAAAAAAAAACAAAGTCCATCCAGTTCAACCATAAAAACCATAAAAAAAGCAAAAACTTTCATATGATGAAGAAAAAAGAAATCCAGTGCCAGTAATACCCTGATCCTCAGGAATCCCCCAATCAGCAAATATTCCAGAATTGTCGTCAATCTTTGTCCTTCAGCCTCCAGAATAAAGAATTTTCTCCACACAAGTCTGACAATTCATGATACATAATAATACAAACTGACACCAACTGACATAGACTGATACATAGTCTGGCTGAAAAAAGACAAAAGTCCATCCAGTTCAGCCATAAAAACCATAAAATAAAATACATTTTATTGATATTTTATGATAAAGAAAAAGAAATCCAGTGCCAGTGATATCCTGATCCTCAGGAATCCCCCAATCAGGAAATATTCCAGAATTGTCATTATCTTTGTCCTTCAGCCTCCAGAATAAAGAATTTTCTCCACCCGAGTCTGACAATTCATAATACAAAACTGATACAGACAAAGACTGATACATACTGACATACACTGGTACATACTGACATAGACTGGTACATACTGACATACACTGATACATACTGACATACACTGATACATACTGACATAGACTGATACATACTGCCATACACTGGTACATACTGACATACACTGATACATACTGCCATAGACTGATACATACTGACATAGACTGATACATTACTGACATACACTGATACATACTGCCATACACTGATACATACTGACATACACTGATACATACAGACATAGACTGATACATACTGACATACACTACACTGATACATACAGACATAGACTGATACATACTGACATACACTACACTGATACATACAGACATACACTGATACAGACATGACTGATACAGACATAGACTGATGCATACAGATACATAGACTGATACATACTGATACACTGATACATACTGGCATAGACTGATACATACTGACATACACTGATACATACAGACATAGATAACTGACTACATACATACACTGATACATACTGGCATAGACTGATACATACTGACATAGACTGATACATACAGACATACACTGATACATACAGACATACACTGATACATACAGACATAGACTGATGCATACTGACAACACTGATGCATACTGTCATACACTGATACATACTGACATACACTGATAGTTACTGACATACACTGATACATACTGACCCACTTTGATACAGACATAGACTGAGGCAAAAAACTGACATATACTGATAGACACTGATACATATTTAGCTCCTGCTGGAAAAAAAACTTCCATCCTGTTCAACCATAGAAAAAAAAAAAAAAAGATATCCTACACCCACAGTTGATCCAGAGGAAGGCAAAAAAAACCTGGCAAAGCACGATCCAGTTTGCTCCTGCAGGGAAAAATTGTTCCTTCCTGGTTATATTGGATATTCTGTTATGCTGACTCTTATTGCCTGGCCATATTCCCCCGTTGTCACCGTCAGAAAGTCAGCCCCGAGGAATGGCGCACAGCTGCCGCAGGAACATGTGCATGTAGGCAAGAAGTGACTACAGTGAGGATGGAGGTGATCAGCAAGATAAATAAAAGAAAACAAAATGGGAATTGTGAGTTTTTTTCATTAAAACGTTTGCATTTTTCTTTTTCTTTGTGTCTTGCAGCTGTGATGACGTCCACTTGGTGGCTGCTACTTTTAGGGGCTGCTTTGTCACACGTGACGGTCGCACAGGAGCAGCCGTTGCCTGACGATGAGGACTCATTGCCTGATGACGGAGATCTTTAGTAGTACACTGAAGAGAACACAGATAATCCGCAGTATTCTCCGCAGGATTGAAGAGGAACAGACTGAGAAAGGTGCGCTAGGCTTTGTTTACATGGCTATAGGCATTGCTATGGGCAGGCTTTGTTTACATGGCTATAGGCATGGTTATGGCAGGCTTTGTTTACATGGCTATAGGCATGGCTATGGGCAGGCTTTGTTTACATGGCTATAGGCATGGCTATGGGCAGGCTTTGTTTACATGGCTATAGGCATGGCTATGGGCAGGCTTTGTTTACATGGCTATAGGCATGGCTATGGGCAGGCTTTGTTTGCATGGCTATAGGCATGGCTATTGGCAAGTCCAGCATTCAAAGTATCCAGGGGCTATGTTTCCATGGCTACGAGCAGAATATGTTTAATGTCTAGTATGAAAAGTATTTGGGGGTTTATATTTACATGGGGGGCTCTGTTTACATGGCTATGGGTAGGCTTTGTTTACAAAGTCCAGTACATAGTGTATTTGGGGGTTATGTTTACACAGTTACTATGTTCACGTGGCTATGGGCAGGCTTTGTTTACAAACTCTAGTTCATCAAGTATTTGTGGAGGTTATATTTACACAGGGGCTCTGTTTTCATAGCATGACTATTGGCAAGTCCAGTATGATAAGTATTCAGGGGCTTTGTTTACATGGCTATGAGCAGAATATGTTTACAAAGTCCAGTATGCAAAGTGTTTGGGGGTTATAGTTACATGGGGGTCTATGTTTACATGGCTATGGGCAGGCTTTTTTTTTTTTACAAAGTCCAACTACACAAAGTATTTGAGAGTTATGTTTATACAGGAGCTATGGTTGCATGACTATGAGCAGGCTTTGTTTACAAACACCAGTACACAAAGTATTTGGGGAGCTTATATTTACACAGGGGCTATGTTTACATGGCAATGACCAGGGTTTGTTTACAAAGTCAAGTACACAAAGTATTTGGGTTTTTGTTTACACGGAGGCTCTGTTTACATGCTATAGGCATGCCTATGGGCAAGTCCAGTAAGCAAAGTATTTGGGGAATATGTTTATACGAGGGCTATGGTTACATGGCTATGAGCAGGCTATGTTTACATGGCAATGGCCAGGGTTTGTTTACAAATTCAAGTACACAAAGTATTTGGGGATTACGCTTATATAGGGGCTAGGTTTACATGGCTATGGGTAGGCTTAGTTTACAAAGTCAAGTACACAAATTATTTGGGGATTACACTTACATGGGGGCTAGGTTTACATGGCTATGGGTAGGCTTTGTTTACAAAGTCAAGTACACAAAGTATTTGAGGATTACACTTACATGGGGGCTAGGTTTACATGACTACGGGCAGGCTTTGTTTACAAAGTCCAGTACACAAAGTATTTTGGTTATGTTTACATGGAGGTTCTGTTTACATGGCTATGGGCAGGTTTTTATCTACAAAGTCCAGTACACAACGTATTTGGGGACGTGCTGTTTATTTAATCATCATAAATACCTGTATTCATATAGGCTAGCCCTGCAGATTTATCTTCTCCAAATTCTGGAGTACTGACTTTGCTTGCTGAATACTCATTTTCGGTCTGTGACTCAGATCATTAATGCCAGAGACAGCCATAGGAATAACATTTCTTCATAGTCCATTCAGAGACACAGGATCCAATACAGCACCACAGATTATATAGCGCCACCTACAGGAGGAATTGACACTAAGCTAAACTGGGCACTGTTTTGGATCCTGTGTCCCTCAATGGACTCTGAGAAAGGGATTTCATTTGGTAGTAACAAAAATCTAATTTTCTTGACACAGGATCCAATGCAGTACCCGGTTTTAGCTTAGTGTCCTTTCCTCCTGTAGGCAGCGCTATATTACTTGTGGTATTGTATTGGATCCCAGGTCCTTTAATAGACTCACAAAAGGGGATTTTACTGTAAATATTAAAATGTAAATCCTGATTTCTTTCTTGTCCATTGAGGGATACAGGATTCAAAACAGTACCCAGTTTAGCTCGGTGTCCATTATTCCTTTAGGGCTCGGGGTGTCCAAACTATGGCCCTCCAGGTGTTGAGGAACTGCAAGTCCCATGAGGCCTTGCAAGACTCTGACATCCACAGACAAGACACCCAGAGGCAGAGGCATGATGGAACTTGTAGTACTGCAACAGCTGGAGGGCCATAGTTTGGACACCCCTACGTTTAGGCAGTGTACATAAGTCATAGTACTGCATTGGATCCTAGATCCCTCAATAAACTCCAAGAAACAGATTTCACTGTAAGTATGAAATCCTGTTTTCTTTATTGTCCATTGAGGGCAGGGGCGGACTGACCATTTGGAAACTGCCCGAGGGCCCGGGGTCAGTAGGGGGCCCCATGAGATGCCCCTGGTACCTTTTTCATAGGCTTTTTTGAGTTTGGGCAAGGACACAGGGGCCCCATGAATCCCCTATTGCCCGGGGGCCTCATGAGTTGTCAGTCCGCCCCTGATTGAGGGGCACAGGAGCCAATACAATACCCAGTTTAGCTTAGTGTCCATATATATATATATATATATATTCTGCATATATAAAACGTATAATATTATACAAGGCACTTGCTATGTTAAGGATTTTTTGAATACGATATTATACTGACTCCGCCTTGACCTTTGCAGACTCTGAGTCTCCTGCTCTGGAATGGATCTCCAAACGGCAGCACCCAGGGAAAAGGTTCCTTGATGAGGTGGAGAAGAGACAACACCCAGGCAAACGAGAGGAAGGGGAGTGGAATCTGGAGCTGTCCAAGAGGCAACATCCTGGAAGGAGATCCCCTTTCAGCGATCAGCTGCTTGATAATTCAAACCCTACTTTAGGCCTCCTGACTGATATCTCCAAGAGGCAGCACCCCGGCAAACGCGGACTGGCCTATGCCAAGCGCCAACATCCAGGCAAGAGAGGTTTGGATGAGGAGGAAGATATGGATTTTGGAGACTTCCAAGAGGTAGACAAACGACAACACCCAGGTAAGAGGTACACAGAGCCAGAGAACGTAGACTACGTGCCACCATGTGAAGGACCTGACCCGTTCAACTGCAGCAAAGGAAGTCTTTTGTTGGAGCTTCTAGACAATGTCAACAGGAGCCGACAGGAGGAAAAGCGACAGCATCCTGGACGGAGGTCAACTTGGGAAGCAGAAGTCCCTGTAGCTCAGGAATGACTGCCCCTCCAGTCCTCCAACCAGGCAAAGAAACACCTCCACCAACCCCTTCACTATTGGAAAACTGACACTTCCTTCAACATAACTCCAAATGTGCTATCCCATGACTCTTAATAAATTTACTACCAGCACTGTGTCTGCAGGGCACCAAAACACGCAACATGTCTCACAGTGTTCTGGTGGAAGATGGTGTAACCCAACTCCAAAATGTAACCCAAACCAGTCCTCCCCCATCAGGGTCCAAATAGATCTTGCTATTTAAAGTGCTGTTTCACTTTATTACCCATAAATATTTGTTTCCGGTTCTGTTTTAATGGTTATGTCTTAAACGCAGGTCAGGTTTCCTTTTTCTTTGTGTCGAAATTTTCACAGCAGATCTTTAACAGATGTGCAATAAATGGTATTTGAACCTCTGAGCGCAATTTATAATTTCATGTTCATTCTGTTATTTTATATAAATTTCTAGTATTTCAATGGAATTCTCTTTGATCTAATGACATTTTGGGTCAGTTGATTGCTGATCTAACGTATTGGTCGGCCGGTGGTAAGTTTCCATTGATACAATATAACTATAGTTACATTATTATTATTATACAGGATTTATGGCACCAACAGTTTGCTCAGCGCTTTACAATATAAAGGGATACAATACAGCAACAATACAGTTCAATACAAGAGGGATAGGAGGCCCCTGATCCTGGGAGCTTACAATCTAAGAGGGGGGGCTGGTGGTACAAAAGGTAATAATTGTAAGGGATGAACTGGTAGTTGGAGTAGAAGATTCCATTATTAGCTGAAGGCAGGACAGGCTTCCTTGAAGAGAGAGGTTTTCAGAGATCGCCTAAAATTGGGCAGAGTAGGCGATAGTTGGATAGATTGGGGTAGAGAGTTCCAGAGGATGGGGGAGGCTCTGCAGAAGTCCTGGAGACTAGCATGGGAGGAGGGGCCAAGGGAGCTAGAGAGCAGGAGGTCACGGGAGAAGCAGAGAGGACGATTTGGGTGATATCTGCGTTTTCACTGTCAAGCCTATTTTCCTGATATTGTAATTTTTTGTTCCAAGGTTGACTTGAGGAAAACCTGTCTGTAAAAATCCTTATTGTCAGTTGGGAGTTTGTCTTTGGGGGGGGGGGGGGTGTGTTTCGGTTTACAAAAATGTTTTCTCTGTTGTCTGTGCCCCCTGTTATGCCATTATCTAGTCTGTTTCAGGTGGTTATTGCCATTTGCATCAATGGTGGAAAATTTTGCAAACAAATAATCTTTCTTCATAAATTGACTCCAAAAAGTATTCTATTACATTTAAAAAAAAAACAAAAAAAACAAATGAGTGTATCGTATTTAGCCTGTGTGAAAGGTATAGCGACTACAAACTATGGGATATACAGCATATTTATATTTGAAATTCTCATTTCTTGAGGCCGAAAAAGGCCAGGACAGTACAAATACCCCCCAAATGGCCCCTTTTTGGAAAATAGACAGTCCAAGGTATTTAGTAAGAGACATGGCGAGTTTATTGAAGTTGTAATTTTTTTTAAAGAAAAATAAATAAAATTTAAAACACTATTTTGTTTTTTTACATACTGTCAGCAGTGCAGTACAACATCATCAGATGACTGGTGACCAGAGGTACTGACTAGTGACAATATGCAAAATAAATAATATTTTATTTTATTTTTTATTTTAAAAAAATCATTTTTTTAAGTTTTTTTTTCCTTATTCTTTTCTTTTTTTCAGTTTTTTTTTTAACATACTTTTACCATAGTGACACTGTACTACTCTGGGAGGGGGGCTGTGATCAGGGATTTTTTCACACTGCTATTGCTTATCACAGTGATGATAGCTGTTATAAGCAATAGCTTTTAACTGTCATGAATGGCTTTCCAGCACGCAGTACATTTACTGTGAGCGGTTCGGTACCTTTCCTTTTCTGTCTGTAGTCCCTGTAATTTTTTTTTCAATTCAACACTATATGGCAACCTGGAGGAGTTCTGTATACCACTGGTGTCAATGTCATTTCCTGCTTCTGTGAACGGCTCTCTGATTTACCCGCTAAGATACAAGTCAGAATTTAGGCACCCCTGCTTTAGGAATTTCAGTTATGATGAGCTACTCGCCAAGGGTTAAATACCTCTAAAGGGATGCAGACCCTGCCGCTTTCCCCATCAGAACACTGAGAGTGCACCAGGTGATTATAATGAACCAGACCCTCCCATTCAGAATCAGCCTGAACAGCTATTTCTTCAGAACAGACAAAAAGCTGCTACAAAGTTTGCTAAAATCCTTGCAATCGGCATGGATCACCTAGAGTGGAATGTTTTTTTTTTTTTTCAACAAAAGTGAAAGATGTCTGAGAATGAAAGTGAGTCTGGCAGCAAAATAATGAGCCCCCAGTGCTGGTCCCCCTGCCCCAATTTCCTGGGCTCATGTTGATTACACCCGCTTTCTTGAGTCCTCTCCACAGCCATATACCAACTCTACAGCCATCCTCAGAAAAAAAAGAAGAAAAGCTAAAGGTGCAGCTAGAAATCGTTCACGAGCCAACTTACACCATTGCAATCTCGTAAAAAATCGAATTGTTAAAGTTTTGCATACCAAAAATGTTGAGAATGTACAGTACAGGATGTCTTTATAACAAGAGATACAATGTATCAATTCTAAAGGATGCTAGAGGGAATCAGCAAATTCTAAAGGATGCTAGAGGGAATCAACAAATTCTAAAGGATACTAGAGGGAATCAGCAAATTCTAAAGGATACTAGAGGGAATCAAACACATTCTAAAGGATGCTAGAGGGAATCAACAAATTGGTACCTTTTTCATAGGCTTTTTTGAGTTTGGGCAAGGACACAGGGGCCCCATGATCCCCTATTGCCCAGGGGCCCCCATGAGTTGTCAGTCCACCCCTGATCGGATCCATCCTGCGGGGATCGTCGGCTCTCTTTAGAACTTACTTTTTCGTGGAGCGGACGATCCCCGCAGGATGGATCGCATCTGCAGATTGAGCATAATGGATCGGAGTCCGATCCATTATGCTCCCCGATCCGCAGATGCGATCCATCCTGCGGGGATCGTCAGCATGCAAACCTATACGGGGTGACACAGGATCCGCTCCACGAAAAAGTAAGTTCTAAAGAAAGCCGACGATCCCCGCAGGGATAGATCCGATCAGGGGTGGACTGACAACTCATGGGGCCCCCGGGCAATAGGGGATCATGGGGTCCCTGTGTCCTTGCCCAAATTCAAAAAAGCCTATGAAAAAGGTACCAGGGGCATCTCACGGGGCCTCCAATCCATTATGCTCAATCCGCAGATCCGAACCATCCTGCGGGGATCGTCGGGGGGGGGGGGGTGTCACCAAGTGTTATCGCACCGGGTGACACCAACCCTAGGGACGCCTCTGCCCCAGTCCATATAAAAAAACGAAGAATCATACTTTGGCTGGTGTGCCAAGATCCAATCTGATTGGCTGGGTGTCGCTCTTGGACACTCTTTCTTTAGCTTGTCAACTAACAATGATTAAAATCTTCGTCTGACCAATCTGTCTCCTCGCAAAGCAGATTTTGTGCGCTAATCCGTTCAGTCATTGTCGTCTCTTGCAGTAGATCATTCCCCGTTTCAGCAAGATTTGCGCTCGGATGCTCGCGGTTTCCCTGAGGCCAGTTGATGCTGTGTGTAAATTCTCTAATGTGTAAAGAAAAAAAAAGACGAAACAATTAAATAAAAATCCATCATCGCGGTTGCCGCATCTCCGGGGTATAGGAAAAAAATTAAATGAATGTGAATGAAACTATTTTTATAGACAAAGGATCTTTTGTGTGTTGTCGGTACATACATGTGTATTCTGTACATAGCTATTTTAATATGGATATTGGAAGCCTGTACATATGACGCATGGTCCTTTTACCACCTGTATATGACTCAATAAAGGATGCATCTGAAATCACGTCTCCACCTTGTATTTTACACTGTAGGCAGACAAGGTGTATTTTCTGTTTTTTCCAAAAAATAAAAATAATAATTATAGTTATTAAAAAAAAAAAAATGTAAAGGTACACTGTTTAAAATTAAAGTTTAGGTATGGTAATTTTTACATAGTTATGCAGGCCATAGACGGGTCGAAAATCGATGTAAGGGGGAACTCTGCCAGGCACACACAGATATAAGGGGGAACTCTGCCAGGCACACACAGATGTAAGGGGGAACTCTCTGCCAGGCACACACAGATAGGGGGAACTCTGCCAGGCACACACAGATGTAAGGGGGAACTCTGCCAGGCACACACAGATATAAGGGGGAACTCTGCCAGGCACACACAGATATAAGGGGGAACTCTGCCAGGCACACACAGATGTAAGGGGGAACTCTGCCAGGCACAGAAAAGTTGGAAAAACACACAGATGTAAGGGGGAACTCTGCCAGGCACACACAGATATAGGGGGGAACTCTGCCAGGCACACACAGATATAAGGGGGAACTCTGCCAGGCACACACAGATGTAAGGGGGAACTCTGCCAGGCACACACAGATATAAGGGGGAATTCTGCCAGACACACACAGATGTAAGGGGAACTCTGCCAGGCACACACAGATATAAGGGGGAATTCTGCCAGGCACACACAGATATAAGGGGGAACTCTGCCAGGCACACACAGATATAAGGGGGAACTCTGCCAGGCACACACAGATATAAGGGGGAACTCTGCCAGGCACACACAGATGTAAGGGGGAACTCTGCCAGGCACACACAGATATAAAGGGGGAACTCTGCCAGGCACACACAGATATAAGGGGGAACTCTGCCAGGCACACACAGATATAAGGGGGAATTCTGCCAGGCACACACAGATGTAAGGGGGAACTCTGCCAGGCACACACAGATGTAAGGGGGAACTCTGCCAGGCACACACACAGATATAGGGGGGAACTCTGCCAGGCACACACAGATATAGGGGGGAACTCTGCCAGGCACACACAGATATAAGGGGGAATTCTGCCAGGACACAC